GGATGTAAATAAATTACTTGGTTAGAAGTAAATGAATAAGGACAACAAAAAATGAAAAATGTGGTAAAGGTTTAAAAACATACCGTAACATACCACACGGCGATGATGAGGAAGGTGAAAGGAAGGCAGATTCGCATGTTAACCCAGATGGTTGTCATTATCAAAGTTTGTAGATCCATTACTGTTGGTTTGTGATGACAGGTGGGTTCAGCTAGGAGAGCTTCCTATAATGTGGAATTAAAGGCTCAAGTCAAAATGTTTAGCATTAAAGACAAAACCTATTAAATGGCAGGGAGGTCCCCATCCCAAATTGATATTGGGGGGGATTTATAAATGCAGGCTGATAAATTCCCTTAACCCTTTATTTATTTTTATTTATTTATTTATTCTTTTATTTATTTGAGGACATGTCAAGACCTTTTAACTTCTGTGACATTAAAAACATCTGTTCATAATTTAAAAAAAAAAACATTTGTATATTTTGATGGCAGAGTTAAGGTCAATGTAATAACAAGAAACGTCCACTTTCCCTTTTATTAAGAAAAATAACAGGAGTGCTTCTATGAAAAATTCATGAAAAAATACTTAGAGTGAAAAAAATTAATTTTTTGTTAAAACATAACCATAGAACATTAATGCTGATACATGCTCTTACATTTAACTTAGCTTAGCTTTAAGTTTTTCACTTTATCTTCGAACTTTTCAATTAGCTTTCTCAATTAGTGTTTTACCTTTTTTTTTATTTAACTCAAGGGCTCATCTAATTGGTCAAATTCCAAAATAACTTGTACAGCCACATAGCAGTATCTTTACTCAATGTCTGAATATAAATCTTGTGCTTCTAGACCTCAACGATGGGGGGGGATCAATAACTGCAACTTGTCCTATAAAGGGATATTCAGTTATTTATTCATTTATCAGACTGCTTAATAATATCATTATGTGATGGCGAAGTCCCTCCAATTAAGTTTTAGCTTGACCACACTCGCATGCACATCAGTGTAGAATAAATATTTTAATAACTTTTAATCCCCTATGCCTAAAGTCCATGCAAGGTAAATTATCTGTATGTATCTGTATCTCAAAACTTGTAGGAGCACTTCGCTGGGATACGACATGAATCGATAACAGAAAATGGCATCTTTGATCCAAAATGGCCGACTTCAAGTGGGGTTTGAACAAGAACTCCAAGAGACGTTTTTGTGCATCCTGTTGGGTTATACATGTGTACCAAATTGCATAATCCTCACTAAAAGCAGGGCTTGGGGCTGTTTTGTTTTGTGTTATAACTTCTAATCCCTTATGCCTTAAGACTAGGCTCGGCAAGTTAGAAGTTCTTTGTATTGAATAGTTTTTTGTATCATTGTTAAAAAGCTTTTAAAAGCAGCTGAATATTTGATTAAAATTGAAATCTCTCCTTTTGTAACCCACTCCATACTTTCATTTTTGTTGTTTGAATTGTTAAATTCCAACAAGCAACACACTGAGGGTACAGAGCAAATGCCGCTTTCTCAGGCTGCTGTAATTGTAACACCTTTTTTATATTTACCTTTAATATGTAACTTATGTGTGTGTTTGTGAGAGTGTGTGTGTGTGTGTTTGTGAGAGTGTGTGTGTGTGTGTGTGTGAGAGAGAATGAAGAAATAATCAGTAGCAAATTTAATAAGCTACCCTTTTATGGTTTATACATTTGTAAAGCTCATTCTAAAGGAGTCTTCACCAACTATGAACCTCGTCGCACGTCAATGGTCTCTGAGTTGCCCTGCGACAGACTGACAACTTGTCCAGTGTGTACACGCCTCTCACCCATAGACCGCTGCGTCGGCCCCACTGCCACCCTGACAAGGACTAAGCGGGAGCAGAAAGATGCAGGAGCAGAAGTCTTTCCAGGTTTACTTTCTGAATTAACTTATAATTACATTTCTGTCAATGATAAGAAACAGATTTTTGTTATGCAAGCAAAAAACAAAATATGCTAAAATTTCTTAAGACTATTTCTTAACCTTTTTCTGCAAAAGACAAAATAAATGCAGCATACACTGTCACAGAGTTACGATGAAAAACTTAGTTATGAGAACATTTACTCACAGTGAGTCTGGAAGGCTTCTAGTCCAACAGTTCAGCCGTTAGATTTGTAGTTACCAATAGTTGATCAAACGAAATAACTGATTTTAAAGCAGTATTAATTATACCTATTAACAAACACATTCAGACAGAGGGTTGTCATGCAGTAAAGTGGTTAAATAAAAAAATATATCTTAAGACCATCTCACCTTCCTGCTTCTCACCTCAGCACAGTGAGGTGAGAAGCAGGAAGTCGACAAATAAAATTAAGCTTTTTTCTTGTTTCTTTTGCAGGTTTTTAAAAATAACAGTCCCCAAATTATTACAATTCATTCATGCAATTATTGCAATATTTAGTTATGTCTCAAGCATAACTGAAATAGTTATGCTGCTTTTTTAATGAGTCTGAAGACAACATAATGAAAAAGAGTATAGAGCTAAAGATGGTGCAACAGCGTGAAAAGAGTGATTCTGCATTATGAATTTTGTAACACATTTACTTTGTTCTGATCAAGGACATGTACACGTACGTACAAAATGCACAAGTATTGGGTTCCTCAGATGGATCCAAGCCAACTGAAGACAGTGGAGATAACAGGAGCTTTGGAGACTAATGAAGCTCATGATGCATCTTTTTTTAGTACAGGCAGTTTTTGTTATTCCTATGTTTTATATGTACAGCGTTTAAATTAAACATCTGTATTTCCATTTTAAAAAGGTTACATTTATTTAGTGGGGAGGATCTCAGAACCTGGATGTTTTCCAGATGTGATGTTCTTGACAAATGAATCAACAGAATTTTTTTGAGTTCTTTATAGAATTTTAAGAAATTAAAAACACTTAAAATATTTTGAAATTTCAATTTTCACATATTGACTATGTAGTTTTTTGGAACACTGCATTCTGCTCGGCTTTGCTCCTTTATTTTTTAAGATAAAAGGTTGGAAGTTAGAATAATAATCTCAATTAAAAATAAACACCAGCAACATACGGTCCTAGTTTGTTGAACTAAGATGTCTTGTTTTGATATAATGAACACTACATCCAAATAATGATTTTTATTAAACTTTTGCATGGAGCTGCATTAACATGCTGATCAACCTTAATCCTAAACAGTTCAACCATTCCCTTCCTTTTATCCTTCAAAGCTAAAAAATGCTCTATAGCAGGAGCAGCCAACCAGTTCAGCATCAGGAGTCAAATGTGTTTTTCAGCTGTGGTTTAAAGAGCCGCACACAAAATATAAACAGTTATTTACTAACTTAAAGGTTACAAAAAGCAAAACAATTCATACCAGTTTTTCATTTGTATTTACTGATTACTTGAAAGTACAAAATATACATTTACTTCCATTTGAATTCTGCTTTTTTCATATTTATTTTTTCATTTCATAAAAGTGTACATAAATACACTTTAATTTTCAAAATTGATTGGAAAGGAGAAGCAAGTCTGTTCCCTATCTTAACAAATAAAATTTAAAAAATAAAAACATCATCAATAACAGTTGATTGTCAGTAGCTTACACCTTCAACACTTTGATTATAAGATAAAAACAACAGAGGAAAAAAGCAGAACATATGGGCTATATGGGTTTTTTAAACCAATAAAATTTTCAAGCTCAGCACAGTTTTATTAACATCCAATTTAAGTTTCGAGTACATACTGACAATTGTTTTTGTATTTGTACATTTTTTAAATCTATGAATATCTTTTCAACATAAACATTTAAATCTTGTTGTTGTGAATTTAATGTTTTTACACCAACAACCGAAATACACATCTGCTTCAGAGTAGTCCAAATAATTTGGTCCAAAAAAATCAAATATTTTTCTTTAATTTTATCTTCTGAAGGAAACACAAACAGCTTTTGCAGGTTTTCTGGCTTTAAACATAAATAGTAACATCTGAAGTTATATTATCTCTTGAAATTTCAGTAACTGTGATTTAATAAATGAACTACTGGGCTATTCTACAGATATAACTTTGTGAATAAATAGGGATTTTGTTTTTGGCAATAAGAAAAAAGGCATGGTATTGCTCATATATGTACCGCCCTACGCTTCTGCACAATAACTCAAATACGGCAGTAGAGGGGAGCAGTATTGTGTCCTCATTGTTTTACTATAAAAATCATACATGACTTTGCTAAATATAAAAATATTCTCTGACAACATTGTGTTCGGTGGGAATCCACCTTTAAAGGCCTTTAAGCAGAGAAGAACAGCAGTATTAAATATGACTAATTAATTAAATACAATAATTTACTACAGTAACTTTATGAACTAAATAGACTAATTTTATGGTGTTACTACACTATACCTCTAACTACCTTAGCAACACCTCTCTTTTACTAATAGTTTGAGCTGGAAATAAAGAACTGATTGGTCACTCATTATTTGCTTATTTGGCGGTGCTACTGGTGCACTTCTATGAAAGAGGAATCAGAGGAGCAGAAGGGAGCCTTTTGGGAGAAGGGAAGTGCTAGCCTAGTGGGACGAGCAGTGCACTTATGCTTTGAGAAGGTTGCAAGTACGCGCTTTGATCCACACAGACTCCACTCTGGATTCCTGAGCAAGACACTTTAATCCAAACTGCTCCCCAGGCGCCGCACAATGGCAGCCCACTGGTCCCCAAGGGGATTGGTCAAAATGCAAAGGGTGGATTTCTCCAATGTGAGATCAATAAAGTTCAATTATTATAATCAGTTCAGTTCAGTAGCTTTTATTTGTCCCCGTATGGGCAATTTTTGTGCAGTAGTAGTACACGTTTTACACGCACATTCACACTTCACACATAAAAACACAAGAAACACATAAAATATATTGGAAAGATAAAAGTAAGTTTTTTTTTTACTACTTGATGTAGATGTTGATAGCCATAGGCAGGAAGGATCTTTTATTACGGTCTGTCTTACAGGAATTGTTACAGTTGTACTATAGGAATAATAAAATCCCAAATATAGAAATAAAAATATATTTAAAGACAAAAAATGCTTCTGTGTTTTCATAACTCACTTTATAACATTTATGTTTTTCAAATACCATAACTGATATGTATTTATCACTGCCTAAATGAGCCCATCATGATTTTTCCTCTTGGTTTTCCTCTTTTACTTTGTCTGCACAATTTTTCATGCTGCAGCTGGAGAGGTATGCTAACAGTTTATCAATGGGTCCTTTACACATGAAAACAAACAGAATCAGGTCCACAAAAGGATTTAAGAGAAAAGAGTATACAATTACATTAAAGTCAGACATGTAGCTTAAAAACCTCCTGTTCATTAAAACAGACCAAACGTCTGTGGAGACGATCATCTCTGTGTAACTGATAAACAAGAGAACCAAAACCCCTACAACCCTGCGTTTCTCCTCTGTGGGAACAGAGGCTGCAGCAGGAAGAGAACTGAGGGTGCGAGCAAGACAGAAAACCATGATGGGGATAGAGAGGATGGCCAAAACAAAAACAACAAAAACAAAGATGGATAAAACATAGTCATAGAGAAAAGCAACCGGTGCTAAGCAAATGCCCCAAACTATGAAGCTTATCAACACAGAACTTTTAGGTTGTCTGATGCCCTGCAGCTGTGCAGGGAAAATCACAGCATACCTGCAACAGAAGACATATGTACATTTATATATCTGCAAAGAAGGTGAACCTGTTTGAAAAAAAAAAGAAGCTACTGATACCTCTCCAGAATAATGCAGATTCTGAAGCCCAGACTGGCCATCACACTGCAGTAATACAAAGTCAGTGATAAAATGGAGAGCTCATCATTTTTGGCCATCCAGATGATCATACAGCCAAACTGGATCAGATTAGAGACCAGAAGGTTCAGATAGATGATGAAGGGATTGTTCTCTAGTCGAACCTGCAGGCATATCTAAGCATACGGTGATATTCTTTAAAAAATTATATGCAGTATATATATAAA